TCTTTCCAGGAAAGAAAAGCTTTATTACTTTAAAAATAAATTTCTTCCAGTTTTGTTGATAACGTATCCAACCTTCCAGAAACATTCACCTAGCACATAAGGGACAAAATTTAAGGAATTCCTGCTATGAAGCAGTTGCAGCTAGAATAGATATGCAAGTAATAAGGAATGACATAATAATGACATTGTAGTATTCTGATTCTAAATCTATGCAATCCTCAAATTAATATACAATAGTAGTGCTAAAGGTATACACCACACCCCTCCTACACAATTCTCTAAACCATGGAGTTCCATTCTGGGCTGTTTCCACTCTCCCACACTGCATACTGCAGGTGTGACCCTGAAGGGCTCAGCTGCAGCAGCAATAAAAATGATGTGTAGCAGATGACATCCCCTCTCTGAGACCTATGCCATGCCCATTCCCAGACTTCACAGCGTGCTAAAGGTATACACCACACCCCTCCTACACAATTCTCTAAACCATGGAGTTCCATTCTGGGCTGTTTCCACTCTCCCACACTGCATACTGCAGGTGTGACCCTGAAGGGCTCAGCTGCAGCAGCAATAAAAATGATGTGTAGCAGATGACATCCCCTCTCTGAGACCTATGCCATGCCCATTCCCAGACTTCACAGCCCATGTGCCACAGGGTTCAGCATCCCTAGAATGCTTAGACTGTCCCACATTTCAGAGAATGGAGCATGAGACTAGGTTCCAGAGCCACTCCAACTCTACTGAAAAATCTAGTTTGCTTTTGGAAATTAAACTGGCCAGGAACAGGCAACTCTGATGGCCCACAAAATCATGAAGATCATTTTGGAATCAGGCTATTACTGAAGTCTGGGGAGAACGGAGGGAAGACAAAAAGCAAATCCATTATTGCCATAACTCCTTAGAAGTTATGCTGACACCGAGATGAATATTCCAATAATACTTTTACAACAAAATAAAGAAGCTCCAACACAATTTCTACATCACCAAACACAAGGCTAGACAACAAGCATACATGGCTCGGGTGCACATTTTGGAATTGGAATAACTAGTATCATATTAATTGGTCAGCATTAAGGACTCGAATCTTTTCAACTAAGAGTTATTTGGGAAACCGAAATGCTTAAGCACTGAGGGTTCACTGAAGTCTCATGATTTATTATGAGCTCTGCATTGTTATAAGAGTCATACAGCACACACACAAAAAAGTAAAAATCCAGAAGCAGTATGAGGTTTCTTTTTTAAAATCATTCCTGTTTTTTTAAAAACTCATTACCTTGTGACATCAAGTGCCTTCTGTACTTTTGCTTGTACAGATCCAAGCAAATCAGCACCCATTTTTTTCAACAGCTGTGTCAGTAGCACAAACAGCCAGTCCTGCAAATCTTCTTTATGGACCTGGATGAAGTCCACCAGTGTCTCCAAAAACATACTGAACACCTAAAAGGCAGAAGAAGATGGAAAGAGGGTAGGATGGGGCAAAAGAGGAAACGACACTGACGTATGCCGAACTTACAAACAAAGAAGAAAGCAGTAAGGGAATCAGAGGCAGAGAAAGGCAGTGTTTTGCAGCCAAGCAGGAAAACAAAAAACAAAACCGAAAAAAAAGGAAAAGAAATCTGCCTTGCTTTTTCACTGGATTTTGATATAAGAGTACATTGGAAATGTTAGCCGACTTCTGTAGAAGTTTGACAATTAGGTATTCCATGCAGTTTCGTCAAGAAAAGAAATGCTTACTGTGATGGCTGGCGCAACCTCAATTTTTTCAGTAAAACTTCATTTTTCACCCTTTCAAGCTTTATCATTAAGTAGATTTGACATATTCTCAAAGCCTACAAAACCACTTTATTTTCCAAAGCAAAGGCTGCTACAATTCTTTATAAAAATGTTAATTCAAAATATCTGCATTACTAAATAACTGAAAAATCATGAAAGCTGGCCAATTCCTTTCCATAAAATATTTGTGGAACAGAACGAGATCCTTCTACTATTGCAGGTATCCCAACACAAAATTATTCACCATAGTAGGGGAAAAAAGGCACAATACATGTCAGATGGGAAGGTGTTTAAAAGACAGAAGTACCTGAGTTTTTTCAAAAACATATCTATTGTGTTCTTTTCAACTAATAATGTTGAAAAGACTGCATTCGGCCAAAAAAAACCCCAAAAACAACCACAAACAAAACCAGATTTTTGTATTTATAGTAACCTCAGCAGTCACACCAGGAAGAAGGGCTTTTAAGGAGGGAAAAGGGTAAAGGAGGGCATGACAAATACGTAACTGTTTAAACAGCCCTTTCAGTCTATCTCATTAAGTTACAGTTTTTTCAAGACTTATGAAGAAATTAGGATGTGTGCGCTCTCTGTACTAGTGTGGTCCATGCGTTCTCTGTTTCCCTGACAAGAAAAATGAGTGTTTGGGCTGAAAATGCTCCCTTCACAACTGATACACACTCTGGCTGCAGCATGAAGTTGGGCACAGAAGCAGAAGTATTGCTGTGATGCAGAGGGTTGGAGAGATATTGCCTCCTGAGCATTAATGACATGGGTACGAGGTTTGAAATTGTTGCTACAAAGGAAGGGCTGGAACACCACATCTTCCTGCTACTGTGATAAGGCTAAATTCTGCTGCTGTTTGTGAGAGTGGATGACCTCAAACTCTGATCATATCTCACATGGCTGCAGAAACCAGACCATAGAAGTGGGTTTTCTTGCACAGCACTGATCCAGGTATGGAGGAGGTGGCACATGCTGCTGCATGCCTTTATTGCTGAGGAAATTACATCTCTCTTCATATTGATAATCAAGTCAGGGTAAGCAAATTCACACCATTAAGTGGAAAATACCCACACCAGTATTTCCTAAAGAAGTGCCTCAAAATTTATGCTAGAAATTAAAAATACATTCAGATTCTTTTTGTCAAGAAAGGTTGGACCAGATGACCCTTGAAGTTCCCTTCCAACCTGGTATTCTATGGTTCTTTCAGGATCTACTGAAGACTAGGGAGAATCTTTTAATAGACATCTTTAACACCGAAAATCTGTGTTAAAAACAAAACAACACAAATGACACTCAATATAAAGCCTATTGGGATTAGCTACTTCAACTGCCTTCCCTTTTGGGGCAAACTACATTAAAAATAGTAAAAAAACTAAAAAATTTTAAAAATTGCCAACTCCTATGCTGTGTAGATATGTATCCAAGTCTGAGATTTATAAATTGCCCTGCCACTAGTGGGATGAAAGTTTTATGCTTGGGATTGGAAACATCTTCTGTATTAATCTAAACTGAAAAAATACATCACTTTATGGATGCACAAGCAGTGGGCACAATTATATGACAGAGGCAAAACCCAACCAATAAGTACTTCATGTATTATGAGTCTTTGGATTTCACAGCCCTAAAATAAGGGGGAAATATACTGGACTTTGGCAAACCAAAAAAAATTCTGCAAATTGAACTACACAGCTCAGCAGAATTTAAACCTCAACCCGTTTCTTTGAGTCTGCAGACACTGACACATGTCTTTTCCATTAACACATGCAGGCTGAACAAACAGGTTACAACCTCTTATTTGATGGTGTAATGCGACTTCTTATGACACTTCAAACATGTAAAGTGGTTTAAATTGAAATCATTATGAAGTGAATTATGAATCACTATGGCAGAAGTGCTCTAAAGATCTTGTGCTGATGTTTTAGCTGTTAAAAAGACACGTAACTCAGGACACAGTTTCCTTTTCAAGATTTGGTAGAGGTTTATCTCAATGGATATCTGGAGAAAACCCAAATAAACTGAGTCACTGTGTCGTATTTTAAAAAATCCCCAAACTACGAATCATACCATTTTGTCTTAGGCCAAAGCCCGAAAAATTTAAGAAGGCTGAAAGAGCATTCAAGGTAAATGATGAATTGAATGGAAAATGGAACTCAACGACTTATATGTCAAACAATGCACGTGGATACTGCAATTTCTGCAGTTTCCATTTTTATGATGTAAATTAAAATTCTGAAATCAAGCATCTAAAGTTGAAGTTTCTTATAATTTGACAGTGGAAAAAATGAACCGATATGAAAATAATTACAAGTGATCCACCTTTAAAGTGAATTATTTCAGATGT